CTACTCGAAGTGCTTGAGGCATTCGGGGTGGAGTGTTGTATGTCGATGGAGGCCCAGGGATACTTACGACGTCCCACAGTTCATAGATTCGGAGGTTGTAGAGATCAATGATGATGAGGAATTTGAGCAGGGAGGGGTTGTATGTCAAGAAAAATCTCCTGAATATGATAAAATTTCATGGGTTAGGAATGATTTGAATAGTGAAATACTTGTAGATATTCCTACAACTTCTAGGGAATCTGTAGAACCTAACATTTCTGTAAAGCGAAAAAGGTAACCTTTATCAAAAGCATGTTGTTTAAAATTATATATTCAACTTGATAAATATGTCTATTTCACATATATCTTATATGAAATGTAAAATTCTTTATAGGGCTTGACGAATATGTCTGGAGTTCCATCACGGAGCAAATCGCGTAGACTACTACAGCGCGGAGACCTGCAGCGTCAGGTGAGAGAGCGTAGGAGAGAACTTGAATCTGCTGTAGATACACAGCGCGAAGACCGGCAGCGTCAGGTGAGAGAGCCTAGGAGAGAACTTGAATCTGCTCATGTTGCTACCGCCATACCTAGCATTGGGGAGTCTACTCCAGTTAGAGGTAACTATTTATTTTTCTTTTGATTCTGTTTTAACATGACACCTAATCTTTATCCTTTACATATAAAAATCTAGTCAGTTGCAACAATGTTTTTTTATTTGCAATCTATCTCCTACACAGATATAGACGCAAATCAACAAACACCTACACAAGAAAATGATTTACAGACAACTCCCCCTTCACACTCCATTTTTTGTAAGGGGTTTTGGTCTGAGGTTTTGGAGGCTATAAAAACCCTCTTTGATCTCAGTTTTCATGTACTCAAGAAATGTTTTAAACAAGTTTAAAGAGTTTTAAACAAGGGTTTAAGTGTGTTTTAGTGTTTGTTTGGTTTGAAGATTGTTTTCACAAGTGGAGGAGATCATCTTCTTGTTTGGGCTCCAATCTCCATCTCTCCATCTTGTCATCTATTGGAGAAGTTTTCTAAACTCTATCTAGCTTTACATTTGCTTAGTTATTTGATTATCATTCTTTAAAGCTAGTTTTTATATTGAGTTTAGATTTGATTATATTATCTCATTGTTACACACACCCACTTGAGCTTATTGTATTTGCATACATAGTATATTAGGGTTGTGAGAGATTGTAACATTGAGTTTGTGCTTAATTGAGTTCTCATCTATTGTAGAGAACAAATTCATTTATTGTTACATTATGAGATTGTAAGGTTTTCGGTGAGCTAGAAAACCGAGTGTGTTGTGAAGTTTTCGGTGAACTAGAAAACCGAGTGTGAGGAGTGAACGTTTTTCGGTGAGCGTTGAAAACCGACATTGTGAGGTGTAAACGTTATTCGGGTGAACGTAGAAAACTCGGTTGTGATAGTGGATTTCTCCCCGGGAGTGGGGAGCGGAGACGTAGGACGGAAGGTCCGAACTCCGTGATCATTTGATTGTGTTTGAGTGTGCTTTGGCGTTTATTTATATTTGTGCTCATTGCTCATATCGCTTTTGTCTCATTATTCATATCATCCTCTATCTTGTTTCATATTGTTTAGCCTTGTGTTAGTTTATATATCCTTGCATATATATTTCATCATATAGGATATATTTCATTGTTTACATTGCTTATCCTAGCTCATATATCTTGTGGTATTTCATACTTGCTAGGATAACTTGTTAATTAATTTTTATTATTAACAGATAGCGGTGAACCGGAAAGCTATAAAGAGGCAATGCAAGTTAACAAATCTCAACAGTGGGAGCATGCTATGCAGGACGAGATAGATTCTCTACTCACTAATGAGACATGGGAGTTAGTCCAGCTACCTGCACAGAAGAAGGCCTTACATAACAAATGGGTCTACCAGGTCAAGCAAGAGAGTGATGGAAGCAAGAGATTCAAGGCCAAATTAGTAGTGAAGGGGTTTTAACAGCGGGAAGGAGTAGACTACACGGAGATATTTTCTCCTGTTGTGAAACTCACAACCATCAAAATAGTGTTGAATTTGGTAGCTACAGAAGACCTTTTTCTTGAGCAGTTAGATGTGAAGACTGTCTTTCTTCATGGTTACTTAGATAAAAAAAATCTACATGAAGCAGCCTGTTGGTTTCATTGAAGAAGGAAAGGAAGAGATGATGTGCAAGCTTAAGAAGAGCTTATATAGTTTGAAACAGGCTCCGAGACAGTGGTATAAGAAGTTTGATAACTTCATACAGAATAATGGCTACAGAAGATGCAATTCGGATCATTGCTGTTATTTCAAAAGGTTCGAGTCCAGCTTTATTATTTTGTTATTGTATGTTGATGACATGTTGGTAGCAGGAACGTGTTTGGAGGAAATAAACAGTTTGAAGAAGCAACTAGCAAAAGAATTTGCAATGAAGGACCTGGGTGCAGCGAAGTAGATTCTAGGGATGAAGCTGAAGGGACAATGAGATTGGGCCAAGCTGAATACATTGAGAAGGTACTTCAGAGGTTTAACATGCAGAATGCTAAAGTTGTTAGCACACTCTTTGAAAGTCAGTCCGGGTATCGCCTAAGATAGATGCAGATAGAGAGTATATGAGCATTGTGCCATATTCTTCGGCCATTGGGAGTCTCATGTACGCGATGGTTTGCACGAGGTCGGACATCGCCCAAGTAATGGGAGTTGTGAGCAGATTTGCAAGAAGTCCAAGGAAGCAGCATTGGGAGGTCGTGAAGTGGATAATGCGGTACTTGAGAGGGACAACGAACAAGCTATTATGTTTCAAGAGGAAGGAGTTGGTGCTGTAGGGATACGTGGATGCGGACTTCGCCGGTGATCATGATACGAGGCGAAGCACCACGGAATATGTTTATACCTTAACGTCGACAGCAGTAAACTGGGTCTCACGTCTGCAGAAGATTGTGATTTTGTCCATAACTGAGGCTGAGTATGTCGCGGTAACTAAAGCAAGTAAGGAGATGATCTGGTTGAACGGGTGCTTGGAAGAGTTGGATCTAAAGAAAGGGAGAGGAGTTATTTATTGTGATAGCCAGAGCGCTATACATCTTACCAAGAATCCAGTATATCATGCCAGAACGAAGCACATCGACGCAAATACCATTTTATACGTTCGCTAGTTGAAGACGGAAAGTTGCATTTGATAAAGATTTTGGGGAGTCAAAATCCGACGGACATGTTGACAAAGGCAGTCACCATTGAGAAACTTGAGTTGTGTGCAAGTTCAGTTGCCCTTCACGAGTAGAAGGTAGAAGACGAAGGCGGAGCCATACTACGAAGATTGGCACGATCGTCGGGATATTGTTGATTAAAGAAAGAATTTTTCTGGGGAGAAGATACATGCGAACAAGTGAAGAGTTCGGGTGAACTCACTGCAAGCACTTTGGTCTCCAAGTGGGAGATTGTTAGTCTAAGGTGTAGACCCAAAGTCGAGACGAAAGCTGGAATCAAAACGACGAAGAAAACGAGCTGATAGATCCACGGTCGACCGCGAGAATCTGGCGGTCGACCGCAAACGTGCACAGGAGCTCAGGAGGAGCTGGATCCGAAGGCGGTCGACCGCGATGATCGACCGCACCAACCCTGTAATCGATTTAAGTCTCTATCATTTGATACGTTCGATCGCGACTGGTGTGCGTTCGATCGCGATACCTGCGCGGTCGACCGTCACGATCGACCACGACACAGTTTGACAGTTTCCTAAACTGTTTTGGATTCTGTTTCTACCGGGACTCTATATATACCTTAAATGTTTTTAGGGTTTGTACAACACGAGAAAAGAGAGTTTTTGACCGCAGAAAGAGAGAGAATCTAAGAGAGATTAAACCCTAGTTTGAGAGTTTGTATTTCTTCTTCAATTAATAAAGAAATTGTGTGGTGTGGCTTTCGAGGACGTAGGCACGTTGCCGAACCTCGTTAAATCAGTGTGTTCGTCACCTTTACTATTTTTTGCAAGGTTAGATCTTTATTGGTGGTATTATTCCTACTTTCTTACTTTCAACACAAGGTTCGGAAGAGTAAGGGTTCGATTGATTGTTTCGAATCCCCAACAAATCTTAAGGATTCTGAACATATCATGAGCAATATAAGCTTATAGTCAAATAAACTTCTGTTCCTACATTGAACGCGGATGCAATAATAAACAAGTGTTCCTGGATTAACACTTCTTAATTTCCACGGTAAAAAAGGACAAGTGATTTTCTACTTGAAAACGGGCCTCCACCAACAAGGATAACTTAAACAAATGGTGTATGAAGAATTTATAAGCTACGCACAAAGAAGAAGAGTCGTAATCGAAATTTGAACACGGCATATTGATTAACGAACAATATCTTTATTTTCAGCTGTGTCTAAAAACAACACGTTCATGAGAAGAAGAGTGCGCGTATGCTCTTCTCTGCATTATCAGCTTGCTTCTTCGGTCTAGCAACGAAAGGAAAATGTTTCCTCTTACAAATCAGATAATCTCAACACATCGCCATAAATTTTGTGGTCAATTTGTTTCCGGACTGTGTGTGATGCTATGACGAACAAACACATCTTCTGTGATCCAGATTCAGAGCCATTACGCAAACTCCCATTTTAACTTGATAGTGACATCTAGGAGGAAATTTTAGGTCTCTTTAGCATACCAAATCTTAATGTTTGAAAATGTATATCGTAAACAATATAAGGTTTACAAACTCTTGATACGACATAAGCTTATAGTCAAATAAACTTTTGCTCTCCTCCAATGAGCGAGGATGAAGTGATGTGCAATATCTCAGGTGGCCATGGTGAAACGTTTCATCCCAAGTGAAAGAAAAACTGATGTGAAACTTGTAACATATTTCCACTAATAAAGATAAAGAAATAATTGTGTAGAAGAGTCTTAGTTCAAGTCACAAATTAACTAACCGACAAATATGTCTATTTTCATCTTTATCAAATATATAGAAGCAAAAGCATCAACAAAGAGGAGAAGCGCTACACTTTCATCTCTTGAAAATGTCCGAAACATTTATACTTGGTCTTCTACTCTTAATCTCTCCTCTTGTACTGCTGCTTCTGAGCATCAAGAGAACAAATTCAAACAAGCTCAATCTCCCTCCATGTCCACCAAAACTTCCCTTGATAGGCAACCTCCACCAGCTCGGCTCGCTCCCTCATCGTTCTCTCCGTTCCCTAGCAAACAAGCATGGGCCTACCATGCTTCTACAACTTGGTCAAGTTCCCACCCTCGTCGTCTCTTCACCAGAAATCACGTGTGAGATCATGAAAACTAAAGATATCATATTTGCAAGTAGACCACCTTCAAAGATCATAGCGACTCTTCTTCATGGAAGCAATGACATAGCATTTGCACCCTACGGAGAGTATTGGAGGAAAGCAAGAAAGCTATGTGTTACTCATCTCTTGGGTACCAAGATGGTCCAATTTTTTCAACACGCACGAGAAGAAGAGGTAGAGTGTATGATGGCCAACATATATGAAACGTCCCAAAGTTATGTGAATTTGAGCAGCATACTGAATATGTTTGCTACTAATATTGTCACTAGAGTTGTTTCTAACGACCTTTTTAGAGATCAAGAAAAGAAAAGCATGCTGCATATGCTTATTGAGGAGAACTCTGCTCTCGTTGGGGCTTTTCATCCTGCCGACTTCTTCCCACTGATTGGATGGCTTGATATCTTCAGTCTGGATTGGAGGGGGGCTTTTCATCCTGCCGACTTCTTCCCACTGATTGGATGGCTTGATATCTTCAGTCTGGATTGGAGGGGAAAGAGAAATGCTAAGAGATGGGATAACATTCTTGAGGAGGTTATCAATAATAAGGCTAAGCGGTTGAAGGATGACGTTTCTCATAACAACAATAGAGATTTTGTCGAAGTATTGCTCTCACTTGAGAATGACCCTAGTGTTGATTTTCCATTTACAAGAGGAAACATCAAAGCAATACTAATGGTAAGTTTTTAACGTATTTCTTATCATAATATTTCGGTTTAATTGCGGATAAACCACCTGCTATCGCCAAAATTGAACTTATTTCCCCTACTGTTCTATTGATTCAAATAGAGCCCCTGAGTGAAATTTGTTCACCCTTTTTAGGTGGTCTACCTGCAACAACTGATTTTTCACTCAGGTAACCTATCTGCAGCAACAAAACTTCAAGGGTAGAATTTTAATTTGATGCTAGGAGCGGGTATCCGTGTATTCCTAAAATTTTATGATGTTACTAATTTTCACGGAAACCACCTTTTTGAAACAAGGTTACCATATAGAAATCACTTTTGCTTGTCAATTAATAACCTTTAAGAGGATTCATTTGTGGTGCAAGCAACCTCCATCATCTACTTTCTGGTAAAATTTTCTCTGATATGGTAAATTTTCCTTGAAAAACGCATGTTGAAGAGACATGGCTTTGGTAGTTAGGATATAAGTCATGTGACTTCAATTGAGTTTTTTAAGTTTGTTATTGGGATTTCAGAGAAAAATTGAGCAGAAGTGGGTCAAGATGGTTGGTTTGCACCAGCCCCTTGAAAAGAGGCTTATATTTAGTTGACAATCAAAGATGATATTTGTATAGTGTCCCCTTTTTAAAGATGGTTTCCGTGAGAAAATCTTGGTAACTTTAAAACCTGACGTGAGAATTTTATAGGATATGTTTGCTGCGGGAATTGATACATCATACATCACACTTGAATGGAGTATGGCAGAACTCGTTCGCAATCCAAAAGTCATGAAGAAACTGCAAGATGAGGTGAGAGGCAAAGCAAGAGGCAAGGACATGATCAGAGACGAAGATTTGAGCAAGATGAGCTATTTAAAATCAGTGATAAAAGAGGTTATGAGGCTGCATCCTCCTGTTCCATTGTTGCTCCCTCGAGTACTTACAGAAAGTAGTGAATTATCAGGTTATAAAATACCCAAGAATACAAGAATCATCATCAACGCTTGGGCGCTTGCAAGAGACCCCAAGTGTTGGGAAGAACCTGATGAATTCAGACCTGAAAGATTCATGGACAGTTTGATAGATTTCAAAGGAAACGATTTCCAGTTCATTCCATTTGGTGCAGGTCGGAGAATTTGCCCGGGCATGAACTTTGCAATGCACAACATAGAGCTTGCACTCGCGAATCTTGTGAACAGGTTTGAATGGTCAATGCCAGAACATCTGTCAAGGGAGGATCTTGATATGAATGAGACCCCTGGACTTACATCTCGCAAGGAGAAAAGACTTGATCTTGTTGCTAAATTCTTAGCTGTGGGGTAAAGACTGGTACATAAACAAGGACTAGTTAATATGTATGTAATAATTATAGACATAACACACGCTGTTGGTAGTCTCTGAACTCTTCACACCTCGTCTGCTACGCTAGGTGCATGTGCTACTAGGTCTAGCTTGTTACCCGTACCATCGAACAAGTTTCAATTTGTCTCTTCACTCGACGTTAATGCTGTTGTAATTATTGCTGTGTATCTATCATGAATAATCTTTTAATTTTGGTTAAGTGAACCTTTCCCATGAGTTCTGTTTAGAGTCATAGTAAATTTCACCTCCTTAATTATTAACATCTCATATTTTTCCTCCTCCAGGAACGGACTGCTTTCTCACATGAAATATATAATTCAGGAAGCTATTCAAAGTAAGCTCTCTTCACACCCCACAACTTTGGGAATTATTTAAATCAAAATCACAAAAAAACCCATAACTTAGGAAGCAACCAAGTAGGATATTTCTCCACGTAGGAGGATTCCATATCCTCCACAAGTCAGACTTTTCTCCATGTAGGAGGGATCCCATATCCTCCTTCAGGACTAGATGAATGTAACTGTTGGGAGAGAAATAAAGCCCAATCTAGGGTTTATTGGCCTTAAACAGAAGTTATGAATCAATTTTAACTCAATAGCTATAGTTATCAGATATTGACCCAAACTCCTATTTAAACTCATCACTCTTTCTTATCTTATCTGATGCGGGACTATACTCACATATTAATCACCTCAACACTCTCCTTTAATTTGTGAGTATATTTCAATTCAACTATAATTCAATCTTCCATGGAATTCACTAATTTTTTGCACCACTTCACTCGTAGGCTAACCAATTCACAAACTTTTACACCACTCCACTCATGTGCTAACCAAACAATACATTCAGCACATAGCTATCAAACATCCGTTGGAACTTCTACCACTTTACTCATGGTGGCTAACTAGACTATATCTCTTCTATGCGCATCTGTGGATTCTTTCGACACCTTCGGGCTTCACATCGAAGATCATATGTATTTCTAAAATTATTTGGACCATGGCCTTATGATACGAGTTGCCGTGCGAGCACCTTTGATCACGGAATTATCAAAGGTGGGTTGAGGAGAAAACAATAAGAACACAAGAATAGCTCAGGTTTTAGGCGAAGGAAAATACATTCTCTAGATTATGAGTATGCACTTTACAATCTCTCACAATCTCACTCTAGAATTGAAGAACAAGCTCTCCAAATCTCAATTACAATCTAATCTCTTTTGATTAAACTCTCTGATTGTTTTAAACCCTAAAACAATCCCTTATATAGGTGTACAAACGAGGGTGGCAAAGTGGTAAATAACCAAGCCCAACCCAAACAGGAAAATGCGTAAATAGAGTCCTTAACGAATCTAAAAAACTCCGATGAGTCGACTCATGAATAGTTATGAGTCGACTCATGACCTCACATGAGTCGACTCATAACTGATGAGTCGACTGGTCAGAGACTTTTGCTAACAGGGCTTGAGTTCTTGAGTCGACTCAAAACTGATGAGTCGACTGGTCAGAAACTTTTGACAAAACGACTGGGTTTCGTGGGTTGACTCATGACAGGCATGAGTCGACTCAACCTGATGAGTCGACTCATGTACATGTATGAGTCGACTCACGAACTGAAAACTAGATTCTTCGAATCTGCTACTCGTCGTCTCGTTCCACGCTTCCACCTACATTCCACTGTGTTGTTTCACACCTCTATTCTCATGCTATCATGAGAATCTTCTATCCCCAAGCTCTCATGAGGATCGCTAAGTTCCGAAGAGAAGATACACCCGTATCACCTTAGCTCTGATACCATTGTTGGGAGAGACATCAAGCCTAATTTAGAGTTGATTGGCCTTAAACAGAAGTTAGGAATCAATTTTAACTCAAAAGCTATAGCTATCACGTATTGACCCAAACTCCTATTTAAACTCATCACTCTTTCTTATCTTATCCGATGCAGGTCTATACTCACATATTAATCACCTCAACAGTAACCACCATTCTAACGATCTTCCAACAATAGTCAAACTTGTTTCTAGGTAGAATGGTCATCAACATATTTGCACTATTGTCATATGTATCGATCTTCTGCATGTTTTTTCTTGTTGAAGATATCTTGTACCCAATGATATTTGATATCAATATGCTTAGACATCACATAGTATAGGACTCCAACCATGATGAACTCTATTTGACTGTCGCATAATAAAATATATGTTTTCTGCTAAAACCCAAGTTTTACCACGAATATATGCTATGTCAATTCTTTGCAAGTTTTTGTCGTGACAATAAACACTGCTTCCATTTGACAAACACATTTTTGTAATCTTGGCTCCAAAGCCACAACTCGCCTTGCAAATTTGATAATGTACCTTGAAATGAATTTCACAGAATGGAGGTCTCCCTCCATCTTTAAATCTGTGTATCTAATTGTTAGCATTTTGGGTGGGTTTGCCCAAATAACCAAAACTTGATAGGTGGTAAATAAAACCTAAGTTGTAAGTATACAACTATCAAGTTATAGTATAAACATTATAGTATAAAATTAATTAGGGGTTAAGTGGGAGTATTTGCATTCTAGATTGTTAAGTGTAAATATTACTTGTGTCTTATATCTGGAGATTAATGGTATGAGATATATATGTGAGGGTTTTCTTGTCTGGATTATCCCCTCAACGTGCTTTTCTCATATTATTAGTCTCTAAGATACGATTGTAGAATTTCGAGAATGAAATTCTTCTAAGGGTGGGGGTGGTGAAAGTAAAACCACGTAAATTTGAATATATTATGAAAAATAATATTAAATAATTTTTATCATGTTTGATACTATTCTAGGATGAATGAGTATGGTTGTAATCAATTTGAGATCGATTAAGTACATATATATGTTTTTGTTTAATAGAGTTAACATGCACGAACATAAGAAATCAGTCGCCAGAATACACCCCTGGTCGGTCGATCGATAGTAATCCATCAGTCGACAGATAGGCGCTGATGCGGCATAATTATGTACTAAAATTACAAGTGCACAATTGATCAAGTTATAGTATAAAAAGTTATCGATCCCACGAGGAGGATGATTTTAAGAGATTATTAGAATTGGTTCTTATGTTTTGTGCGTGACAAAATAGGATTAAAGAATAAGTGGGATTGTAGAAAGAGATATGATGAGTGATTGTTTTGAATATGTGAAAGTAACAATAAATTGAATTTTAGAGGAGAGAAGAAAGAATCAAAGAATAGATGAAATTACAAGGCAAGAAAGAAGAATGAATAAAATCAAGAAATAAAATCAAGAATAAAAAGAAAATTCAAGAAAGTCAAGATGGATGATTCAATTAAGATATGAGAAATATAGAATTTAATCCACTAACTAATCTCAATTACAAAATACAAACTATTATCTTTTTAATATATTTCAACTTAGATTTATTAAGCATAGACTATCAAACCATTTAAGGAAAGTATAACCTATCAAATTATCATCTAAGTTAAAATTACTATTCATGATAAGAACAACAACAAGATAGTAATCCTAGAATTCATAAGCATAACCTATCAAATCCTTTAAGATAAGCATAGATTATCAAATTCTTCTTCTACCGATTAGTTTTTTAGTTGATTATCCTAAACATGAATATTTTAAGTGCAAGAGAATAATTTGTATAATATAAAGGAAATTAGACTAGTTTCATACAATTCTAAGATTCCTATAAGAATTAATTTCACATCCTAAGAAATAAAAGCAAGAAGAAAAAGAACTAATTATAAAAATAAAAAGAAAAGAAAAATCTAAACTATGAACAAGAAATAACTCTAACTACAAAGAATTAAAATCTAAACTACAAAATATATTACAAAAATTAAATGTAAGAAAATAAATCTACTCTACAAATTAAAGTGCAAAAAGAAATAAAAAGACAAGAAATTAAATCTACACTACAAGCATGAATGTAAATCTAACTAATAAACAATAATAAAGAAATTACTAAAAAGAAATAAAAGAGAAAAATAAAAGAAATGCAAACCTTTAAATTGCTCTTCATCTCTATCCTCATCATTCAACAAAGAGGAGAAAAACAAATTTAAAGTGATGAAAAATTATTATTATTAATTATAATAAAAGTTATAATTTTTGGAAGGCCTTCTAATTAAGAGTAGCCCTCCTCTCCAAATGGAGTTACAAATTTTTTCACACCCTCAACCCCTCACTCTCTACCCCTATTTATAGTAAACATCAATGAATGAGAGCCATTGGATTTATCTTGAGCCCCAAGCAAAGCAATCCCCACCTTTAAATTTGTTAGTGAAGAAATGGGTTGGAATTTTCATATTTGCTTTTTGTTCTTCTCTAGCCTAACGTAGGAGGCCAAATTACCTATTCATACATGATTTTCAAAATGAAAACCCATATTTGTAGCAGGTCCGGTCTTCATAAGAGCTCCCTTGGCATTGAAATGATTTTTGGCTTTTTTTTGGGGGGCCTTGCTTCATAGCATTCATTTTGTGGGCTTTTGCTTCAATTGTAACATAATGTGCTGGAGTTCATTTTTTTTTCTTTTGGGCCATCACTTGCTTGATGAGCTTCATGCTCTTTGGGCTTCCAACTCTTCAATCATTTTCCTCTTTGAGCTTTTGCTTCATGGGCTTTTAAAATGCTACAAAATAGAGAAGAGAGATTTTGAGGGGTTTTTACCTTTAATAATATTTATTTATATTTTCATTCAATTATGTGCAAACTAATCTAACAATAATTATTAATGGTATATTTATTCATGTAAAATAAATAATGAGGATATAAAATTATAATAAAAATATGATTATCAAATACCCCCACACCTAAACTTTTGCTAGTCCTCTAGCAAAGAAAGAAAAAGTAAATCCTAACTCACTTTCGCAGGAATCGTGGTTGTATTTAGCGCATACAACAAGCCTTTAAACCCCTAGGTTACCCTAGCGGACGAGTTATAGTCTCGTGAGGGTTTGCAGTGAATATACCCACAAAATTCGGTCAACTTGCCAAGTTAAATAAGTCAGTAAATAACTAATTTTCCTTGATACATTTAGACATTCTAATTGAAGCTAGTCAATAATCAAGAAAACGTTTTTATATATAACTCCAATGTAACTCTTTTTAGAAAATCTTTTTCATTATAGCAATACAAAACCAAGTCAAATCTTAGAGATTTAA